TACTTATCCCTCGTACCAAACGAGCCTAACGTATTAGTTTGTAATCTTCAAAGAAACTGCCGTTCCACATCTAGTTTACTAAGCTCATTAATTGATTAAACAAGTAAGATTAAGGGAATGATAATATTTACAGATAACTTCACATCATATCTAGTTAAAAGTTTGCAAGTGCAGTTAGACATTCAAAATAAGGAGGTTTTTCAATTTTAAGTGAAGCTTCTGTTTTTTTTTTTTTAGTACTAACATTTATCAGAAAGCTCAAGAAAGATGAAAGCAATCCCTATTCTGTCATTTTGTTAGATAATTCAACAAGAAAGTCCAAATAAACTTGAAGAATTGACATGAATTCCAATGGGAAAAAATGGTTTTTTACAAGCAATGTATTGAACTTCATTTGTACTGCAAGATATATTGAACTTCTTAGCCACTTGCTGTAGTAGGGAAATCAAACTGGTATCCTATATTTTATCTAAGATAAGCAAGCAGAACTCAGAAGATGCAGGTTTCATCAGAACTAAAGCTTCCAGTATATGCCTAATCGATGAAGTAGGCCAGCAACGATAGCCCAGAACAGAATCTCGGCAAAGATGACATAAAGAAGAGTTCCCACTCTTGTTGAATGCCATACTCCAATGAAAATGTGCTTCTTTATCCAATATATCTGCAATTGTTGAGAGTTCGGTTCAATCAGTTTACTTAAACAGCAATGACAGAAACAAAGGGAGAAGAGTAATGAAAGAGATGAATGAAATACCAGTGTATTATGAGGATCCTCATAATACCACCCGTTGATGAAGCCTGCAAATATTCCTCCGGCGGCCATTACATAAACAAGCATGGCATTCATGCCAATCCATTCCAGTGGCAGAAATACATACTTCAAGTTCAAAATATCAACCTGTATCGCAAAAGAAAAGAATTTTGAGAATCTTGCAACAGTAATCATGCATCAGATTGTTGTCATTCCAAGCTCTCTTGTTAAGAATTACAACAATTCTTCAAAAATCCAGCTACATTCTCATTATGAAAACCATTAGACTTGAAAACTTGGAATGACAACTTGAACCTTGAGAATTTTTGTTCCTAATAATGCATTTCAGAGGCAAGTGTGATTTAGCTGTAAAGGTCTATACATCCCAAATTCTAATGTCCCAAATCGATCAGTTCAATTTGTAGCACAGAATAATAATACAAGTGATCAGATTTTACAAGACTAGTGTACCAAAATGTAGAAAGCAGAGAACACTAATGCGGCTGCTCCTGAGGTTACACAGACATAGCTGAAGGTGTATAGTTGCTTATTTAAAGGAATAGCTGCATTCAACACCACCACCAAAGAAAAAATGAGGAAGATAAGAGAGAAGAGGTAAAATAGCCAGTCCTGAGTCCACTAGATATAATCCAAATTTTACCATCCGTGAAATGGAGAATAATTCCTAAAACCAAAAGAGCTACGCCCATGACAACCCAATGCAAAAGTCTGGATGTGTGATCCTGAAATTTCATCAACATCTGAATATCAGCAACTTTTCTGTAATTTGGGTGAGATGGTCATGTCTAGAAGATTTTGACTTAACCTTCATATGGATAAGGACATGTCCAAAATGAACTCCAACAACTGTAGAGAGAATAGCAGAAATCGAGCTGTAGTCATAGAAGAATTTACCAGACATGAAAACTTGAACATTAGTAAGCAGCACGAATGTATCCAGCATTACAAGTTTTTATTCATCAAAACTAGGAAAGAGTGGAGTTATTTCCAGTCTAACAGGCCTTGAAGAATTGTGTATATGCATCTCACCTCAGAATTCCTTCAGGTTCAAATGGTGCAAAACACCATAATGGAGCATCGTCCCTGAAAGTTCCCGCGTATGGGGAATTTTTAGTGCAAGCCTGCAGAATAAAGATCATCTAATATATTAATTACCAGGTGAACTTAATCGAGTGAAAAATAGATGATTGATAAAGAAGCATAAGAATTAAGCGAACAGATAAACTTTGTACAGAACTAATCACCTTGGATCTCTTCCAAGCAGGACGTGGATACAAGTGATTGATTCCAAATACTTGTCTGTCAATATAACCCACTGCATTGCAAGGAGGATCCAGATTTCCTCTCACGTTGCAAGTTACCTAACACAAAAATCGAATACCTTGACTTCTGATGACAGAAATATTAGAGTTGAATTTGGAACATGGACGAATGAAACTCACAGTTAAAATCTTCCCAAAATCAACACTGTCCCGGTTCTGGACAACAAAATGCCAGTCAGGAACATACGTTCCATATAATGTGGCCAGGTAAATTATTAAGACACATGCTCCAATAACCCTGAAATTGTGAAAGGAATGCTCAGTTCTAACTTTGTTATCCTTAATGCTATCACCACTTTAGCAACACCGAAAAAATACTCACCATTGCCAATAGTATATCTTGAATATGAAGAACCATCGAGTTGGTAGTTCCTTGGGTTGGGCTTGTCTAGTCGTTATTTCTATTATTGCCACAACCAAGTAAGCGAGAGCAATTCTCTAGAACGATAAAAAGCAGAAAAATTATCACCAACACAAGATATTAGCATTCAAATAAGGGGGTGGGATCAAATACTGTTACCTGGAGAATGCCACACCACCTTATCCTATTCATGTCGACACCATATTTTAGCTTGTCAAGATCATGGAAATAACCCCCTTCAAAATTTAAAAGATGAAGTTAGGATCGTAATGACTTTGGGAAGAAGAAAGATGAGATTCCCACTGCCTCTTTCCCTAGGACAGTTACCACATTGTTAAGACTTTCTATCTGTAGCCAAACACAATTCTGTTTCCTAAAGGGAAGCTAACAACTAAAAGTCATTACCGATCACTCGTTCTGAATGAATGGCTAAATTCCAAACATGGCATGGTCGGGGATAGATGGCCATTAGAAAGGATAAAGGATTTGTAAATTCATCTGAGCTAATACATTGTTGCAACTTGTTGCAATGGCAAAAGTTGGTAGAATCAGAAGCTTGCTAACACTTGGCCTAAATTTTATATGCTATATTGGATATCAATAGAATGCATATCTCCTTAATTTTGCAAATTGAAAAGGAAGAATAAAAGAAAAAGAAAGAAAGAGAAGTGACCTTGTAAAAGGAGGCCCCAGAATAGAAGTTTGAGAGTCCTTAGTATCACCTTTCTGATGGCCACTAGCTTTTCTGGTATTTTCTACACAATAAGCACCAATGAGTATGAGATACTACCTGAGTTTATATTCTTATAAATGGGCAAAAACGCGGAGAGAACCTTGAGAGCAAGTGCTATGGCCATTCCCACAATAAACAGAAAGAATGGCATCACAAAATCTGCAAGATTGCAACCGTTCCATGGTGCATGCCCAATCATAGGCCATTCTCCTCCAGCATCGTCAACCAACACCATCAGCTACAAATTCCACAAACCTCAGCAAGTTTTCAAGACAACAATGATAATATGTGATTTACTTCCATATGCACTGAGCAGATTACAATAATTTAGTCCAAGCAAATCATGAGACTAAGAAAATTAATGAAAAAAAGATAATTATTGAAATTCCTACACTCTAAAATTTTCCAGGTCACTATAGGGTACAGGATAAATAGGATACAGAATATCTTTATTTATTTTTTGAACCCTGCCGCGGACATAGTCTGCTATGTAAGTTGGGAGGAGGGGAGATTATTATTAAAACATGTTTACGGATCCTCTGGAAATTGCAAGAAACAAACTTCTGGTAAACACAATAAGCCAGTATATATTAGTTTTAAAATATGCTCGTAGTCACATCACTAACTACTAAGCACAAGATAGCTCAATACAGTCACACCAACAAAAAAATTTAACTTGTTAATATAAATCAGAGGTGTACATTTTTAATTATTCTACGGCCATTATCTGAAAACAAAATGAGATAAGCTTGGTTAAGCTGAGAGAGTCCAATTCAGTCTGTTATCCCAATAAAGTAAATTAAGATTTCTATCTGTCTACCCTCCAACAGAAATGCTAGTGTGTAGAGAGAAATATGAAGTTGACTGCCCTCTTTATGGTTACGCAGATAAAGCTTGCAATCCTTAGTCCCTTGGACTCGAGTTTTATGATCAACATTTCTTTTTATAAAAATATATAGATATATACTAAATTCGTAGCCATTGTTACAAAAAGCCATGAGTGCAGGAGTCTTCTACACCACTAACTTAAATCCTAACAATACCATTTGTTACCACAACTATTTTAGAAAAACTTGGCGGTTTCAAGAGTCCAGGCCAAGAACGCCATAAGAAGAAATAGATGGCCAAACTTACTGCAACAGTGAGGCCTCTGAAAATATCAAGGGAAGCCACTCGCTTTGTCTTTTGAGGCTTAACTTGTTGTTTCTCCATTTCTGGAGCTTCAACTATAACATGCTGCTGCTGGTGATGTTGTTCCATATCTACTTTGATATCAGCCATCATCAACTACACTAACGGCTTATGACAATTGACACAAGGGAAAAAGGAATAGTAACTCAGCACCTCAATAGAAATGAGGATAGGAATCTTTTGAAGACACAAAGATATTATAACTAGAATCCATTTGTTCTTTTTGTCTGTATCCGACAATCAGTTACGATTGCGTGACCGTCCTGGACTAGATTCAATTATAGGATAAGTTTTCTCGGACCCATTGTATTTATTGAAGTCTTTCGTGAAACCTCAAACAAAGATAACTAAAAAAAACTAACCCGTCGCACCCCACTACGCTTATCCAGAAAGATGCTCCATGGTAAATGAATAACCAAACAAAAATACAACTCGTCCAAATTTTGCATGCTTAAAAACTATATAAAGATAAGATAATCACAACTTTTTATATAATAAAAAAACATATTTTTGGAGAATTAACAGTAAAAAAAGTTTATCTACATAAAAAAAAAAACAGTAAAAAAAGTTTGCCTCCCAAATCATAATAATACCATTAAACTAGAGTAAAAGGGGNGCCAATGAACTCTGAATGGTTTCGTCTAGAGTTAACATTCCAATTATAAAGTGTGAAAAGCATCTTTAACTAGAACCTGAACACCTCGAATTCGAATACTAGGCTTAGTTCTCATTTAAGATTACACATACTGATGGCCAAATATTTTCAAGACACGAGCTCGCTTACATTTTTCTTCACTTAAAAGAGAAAAACACTGATCAATCTGAGAGTGAGCATTTCAAGCCTAAATACACTCCATCTCAAATTTAAAATAACTGGAAGCAGCCTTTCCTCCAAGAAGCACCTTCATAATTTGGCAGTATAAACAAAACTAGATACAATATGCCTTTAAAGTGACACATCTTGCTTCATTGTCTCTAACTGAAGATGATTAGCCACGTCCACGGCCTCCACCTGTAAAAGAAATCCGATCCAGAATCATCTGATTAGCAAATGGCTATAAATGGTGAGTTCTCAATTACTTTTCAAGCATTGACATGGCAGTCAGTCTCCTCGATCTGCTTAGGTATTGCTAGATATAAATGCATGAATAAAATATCTCACATGGAAATGCAAGGCTTCAGGTTGAAACTTAGGGATATCATAAACTTTTAAGAGAAGAAGCACAAAATTAGGTATACACTTGCATTGAGCACTTCATACCTTTTCCACCAGACTTGGCACCAGGTCCTCCTCTGCCCCGGCCTTTTGGACCTGCATCTTCCATTCCACGCCCAATGCCTTTTGCCAGTCTTCCAGCAGCACTTTCATCCCTACCTCTTCCTCTTCCTCGTCCTCCAACACCAGGTGGTTTTCTATCTGCAAAAGCATATGGACTAACTCAAAAGGAATCAACAAGATACTAATTATGGAATTAACCATCATAAAGCAAAAGTACGTTCATACATAGTAGAAGGTTCTCTAAAAAGAGGAAAATAAAAGATGCATGTTATTATCGAAACATATGCACTGTTTACTTAATATCTGTCAAACAACCCCAGTCTAACAAGACATTCTACGCAAAGTTAATATGACTTGCAAGTATAAGATGAACCAAACAGTAATCCCGCCAAACAGATAAATAATCACCAATATCTACATTCCATCAAAGATCATGTTAATGTGATCCAAAGTTCTATTTATCCACCAGTATGACAGGTCAATAATATGGCCTAAAAGATCAATACAGCTCACAAGTACAATTTTAATGAGAAACAGAGAAACTTAGATTGGACAAAAGGAACTTCTTAACCCTTCCTCACCACAGAGTAGCACGACACCAATCGACGCAAGTAAATGGAGGATCCATGTAACACAGCATGTGACCAAATGCCATGCCAAGATTACCATGTGGGAAGCTCTATATTATCAAGATGAGAAGGAGCCAAAAGCCTAATAATCTATATATTTTTTAAAGCCTCAACATCCCTTATTAACTATCTTCGTCTCTTTTGCAAGTAATGTTCTTACAACTTAAATAATCATGAGGTTAAATTAATAATCTTCCACACCCTTCTCAGCGTATTATCTCATATTTTTACCTTTTACCATTTTCTTGAAAAACATCTAAAATATTATTTCAATTTGATTCCCACCAAATTATACTTGAATTGGAAATTAAATATTCTTTTCAATAAACACATGCATTGGGTCTGCAACTTTTGGTTGGAGTAAACAATTAATATACCTAAAATTAAGCTGAATGTTCAGAAACTAGTCCTAGGTGAGCAGGAAAAAAATTGTATGATGAACAAACCCCATATTGTCCAACAGCTAAAATAGAAGTGGTTATAAAATTTCGGAAAATCACTAGTCCAAAGTAGTACCTGCACGGCTTTTTGTTTCTTCCTGAACTTTATCAATCACCTGGAAAAGAACGCAAATAGTATAGTTAACCAAAAAGCACGAAGAGGGATTATTAACTCGGTCAAACAAAGAGCCAAGGGCAGACCAAGCTTCCAGAATTTATAACTTACTGTGAACTCAGTCTCCAACCCGAGTGATAAGAATGAACTATTCCAACCATTAAACACATGTATATATGTCCATATATAGGCATACACATACACAAAAACAATATCTACAAAGCCTAACCTCTCCGAAAACTAAAGTTGAAATACTGTAGTTATTTCATGAATAAAAGTAAAGGCAAACTGCAATCTTTTCCATTTTTGTGAAAGTGAAGCTTCAATTCACAGCTGAAGGAATGCAGGAGGTTTTCGTTTTACATTTACTACAGCAAAATTACGATGTATGCCATGTTTGGTAAACATCAAATCTCATAAGCTACCTAATTATGGTTTTGACAGCACTTCGTATCTGTTAATCTGTTGTGAACATTATACATCAATAAGGAAAGTCTCACAAGCTAAGAACACATGATGCTACCAGGTACTGCCCTAAGTCTCAACAGCCAAATAATTATGTGTAAACAAGTGATCCAACATGAATTACATTACATACTCTTAACATCAGTTGAACTGAATTGCCCAAAGACTTGCCCTTTTGACAAGGAGAACCACTCAACTTAATGACTTTTTACAAGAAAATGCTAGCTGCTCATGAACACTCCTCTCCCCTACCTCTCCT